GTGACTTCAAATATGTAAAATTTTACACAGGTCAATAAAAAGTTTAATCGATAGCATTGTTAACTTCGCCAAATTACCCCCTTTTACCTTATATGTTAATGTTCTTAAATTATACTTTTTTTTTTCTTTTTTAAGTGTTTTTATTATAGTTGGGTTGATATTTTTTTAAGAAATTTTACATTTTTTTCATTGGATTGATGCTAATATTACTCGAATTTTTGCTTCACTTCATATTGATTTGGTTTTAATGATAAAATTTTGTTGATAGAGATAAGTAGCCAGTTTGCTAATGATAAAGATTCAGCTTTTTCATATTCTTTCTTAACCACATAGTGATTTTCAATATTGCCTGAATTTACTTAGCCAATTAAGACACCTTTTAGTTGTTAAAATCTCAAATTAAGCTATCTAATATTTATTTTTTTAGTTTTAACTATTGACTCAAGTTCAATATAATTTTTTATTTTATAAGAATTATTAAATAGAAGTATTTTTTGAAGTGGAGTAGATAAATTAAACAAATAAATAAATCAGTTTTTTTTTAATTTTTTTTATATAAAGAGAAATACAGTATAAAGCAAATGTAAAGAAAAATATGGAGCAAAATATAAAACAAAGTATGAAACAAAATATAAAACAAAGTATGAAACAAAATATAAAACAAAGTATGAAACAAAATTATAGCAAGTATTAAGTAAAATATAAGCAAACTAAAAAGTAAAATATAAACTAAAGTATAAAGCAATATAAAGCAAAATGAGGCGAAATATAAAGCAAAATATAAAGCAAAGTATAAACAAAATATAAAGCAAAGCATAAAAAAATATAAAGTGTGAAAAATAAATAAAATATGAGTGTAGTTTATTTAATTAATCAATAATATTATTAATATTAACTATCATTTAGATTAATTTCCAGACAATTATGTGATTATCCTGAGAACAACCTGGTACACATTTTCAATTTGTATAAAAATATGCAAGGGTTAAGGGTAGGGGTATGTAGATCATTTTCATATGATTTTGGTGATACAATAGGATTTATATAGAAATTAAAAATATACTACTAATAAAACTTTTTATGGTTGTAGTTAATTTAGCTAAAAATTTTATAATATGTAATACAAAATACTTTTTTTTATTATAGTAAAATTTTAGTATAAAATATTTAAAAAATTTATACTTCTATATGTTATAAAGTTTTTCTTAGTTGGCTCAAATTTTCTTTGGTTATACAAGATAATCAAATTTGATTAGTTAATGTCATATAATTATTATATGATTTTTGTAAACAATTTATAATACTCTATCTTTAAATACTTGTTTCTTAGCAAATATTTATCTAATTTAAATAATTTTACTATTATTAGAAATACAAGACTCTATTCTATAACTTTTAATTAATTTTTAAAACTAGTTTACTTACAGTAATAAAATATTTTTTAATTTTTAATTAAAAAAAAAATTTACAATAAGTTTTATATATAATTTAAAATTGTACTCCCTACTTTTAAATTTTAGCTATCAATTACATATCTATCTATAAATTGCCATTCTTAACTGCAAAACAGTGAAAATATTCTTTTTTTTTGTCTTCTATTTATACAGAAATAGTATTAAATTTGGGATATAATATATATATATAATAAATTAATATATAATGTTTACACTTGAATATTAATCAAAATTAAGCTTAAATAAATAGTGAATACACAATTTATATTAGGAAATATTTTTTATTGCAGTTTTGCAAAAAAATTAAATAATAAATCAAATAAAAATCTGCACAAAACTTCAAATTTGAAACTATAAATGCAGAAATTAAATGCAATTCTGTGCAAAACTTAAAATTCTAAAAAATTTTGCAGATTTTTATAACAATTCATCAACAACCTGTAAAAATACAGAATTTTGCAAATTTGTATTTATTTAATTTTCTTAATGTAGGTAGTACACCTACAAAAATTGCCCTACTTTCAAAATTTTTACTAAAAATAAAATCTTATTATAGTTAGGGTTAGAGTTAGAAATATTAGTAAAATTTCACAAGAAACATTTTTAATTAGGCCTCAGAAGGTTGTTTTTAATTAAAATTTTGAGTTATTTATTTTTTTGTTAAAAAAAATGAATTTGCTTTTACTATAAGAAAAGTTGTACAGGTTGTAATACAAGTTGGTTTCAGAAATATAACAGATTGTATAATATGCACAAGCATAATTTACAGAATAGTATAATAAAAATAGCATAGATATTATTAGCAAGGATAGCATATTATATCATGTTATATAGAACAACATGTTCAGATGACAAGTATGTATACATTATACAAATGTTGGCTTGTGATATATGCTGGCCCATTTTATGGAAAGCAAAAGATCAATAAATGATTTTTTTTTAAAAAAAGTGCAATATCTTATAATTTTACCAATAAAAATACTCTAAGTAACTTAATAAGAAAGATTCCTTATAAAATTTTACTTTATATACAGTTAGTTTGTTCATATTATATATAGAGATTGGAACCAAATTTATTTTTTAAATCTGGATTTATTTAATTAGTGATCTTTTGCTTCGGAATTGAATCTGGATTGTTAAATTAATATCTAGATATAACATGCATACTTGTTTATTATTAGTCACCAATATATCTGTAATGATAAATCAATTAATTGATAATCTTAGAAATTATATTTATATTTAAACATTCTTTACATTTGAGTTTTATCTTTAATATTGTAATAAAAAAAATGGTTTGGGCCTAATCATATATTATATGTTATCTCCAAATATTTTTAGTTTTCTTTTTAAAAAAAAGCTATATAGAATAAAATGGGTTTATGCAAGATTAAAGAGCTAAACAAAGTATTCGACCAAAAGCTTCAGCCTTTAAAGATAAGTATTATATATAGTATGATTAATTTATTTTATATATGAAATTTATTAAATATCTTATTTTGGTTTTATAGAATACTTATTTGCAAATTAAAGATTTTCATGTTTGAAAACCCAATTTATTGAAGTGAGCTTTATGAATGAAATTTTATTAGAACAAGTAAAGGAAACCTATTTATTAAACTCCAAAGATGGGAACATAGAGAAATACATAGTGTTACATTTTAAAAATAGAATACTATTAATTAAATCAGATACTAATCTTGTTCTTCTTGCTAAGATATTATTTCCAATATCAGAAAAAAGCTACTTGCTAAGAACTAAAGTTGCAAGTATTGAAAGATATTTATATACTAATTGTGATAAAAAAGAACAACTTACCTTACATCTTTTGGTTTATCAGAATAGCACAAATAACAAGTAACTTTATTATCTATAAGTATTTGATTATTAGATCACATTTTTGAGAATATATCTTTATTATCATTTTTCAAGCTCATTCTAGTTTCAATACACATTTTATTATTTTCAGAATTTGTAATATTTTGCTTAAGTTGAGTATATAAGACTTTTAAAAGAACCTCAGCTTGTATTTGTTGTTGCATACAATCAGGTTCATTTACAAAAGAAAAACTTTTTATTCGAGGGTCCAAAATCATTGCAATTAAATATATTTCATTTGGTACTTCCTACAATTTATCTAAAGAAAGATAGATAGCTGCACAAACTTTTTTAATAAGATCTAGAGTGTTGGCTAGTAGCAAGCATTCAATTTAATTAATATCATTTTTATTTATTTTAGTTTTTCTACTGTTTGATATCGAACTCCAACTCGGCTTTGTCTCTGTCTCTGTGTATGTTTCATCTAATATTGAAACTGTTAATATATATAATTTCACTGTTGTCAATTCCCAGCAACTAAAATATTTATCATCATTTGTAAAACTTGAATTATCCTCATTTTCATTACTGCTATCTTGTACTAAAAGCCCATACACAAGATTCAAATAATTATCAATAGTTTTATTTTTTTTAATTTTGAAGCAAATGCTTGTTTTAATTGTCCGGAGCGTAGCGGAGGACATTTAGTGTTTAGTCATGGTGATACAAAAGTTACGATCTTGATACATCAATAGTTACATTTTTGATTCACTTCTAAGCTATTTATCAAAATCGTAACTTTGAAAATTCTTGTCTGTCCGCACGCGTGTTTAAATTTGTAATTTAGTACTACAAAAAATATGCATGCTTACGCGTTTGTGTTATATAATAATCGTCATGTGCTCTGGACACACAATGCTACGTATTAGCCTAGTATATAGATATATGGAAATACTAAATTAAATGTTGGATAAGTAACACCTGATAATCATTGTATTATTATTTTGAATGGTTCTAATAATTTGATCATTTTTTTAACAAACCTATTAAAATAAATTTAATAAAAGAAAAAAGATTATTTTAAAATTTAATTAATAGTATTTACACCTTATTTAAAAAACTTTGACAATAATATAAATACTTGAATTTGAATAAGCTTTTTGAAAACTTTTTGAAAAGTGATGTGTACTTTAAAAAGAACTTTATAAAGACTGGGTAAAGAAAATTAATTACTCTATTTTTATGAAATAATGCCCTATACATTATTTTATAAAAATATTGCTAAATGATATTCTGATATTTGTATCAAAAAAAAAACTTATTGTACTAAATTGCTATAAAATTTTGTTTGTTATAATTACAGATATTTTGTAAACTAATTTTTTTTAAATGCAGCATTATTTGACTTGAACAAAATTGATAAACATATTATCAATTTAGCAATATGTAGCTATTATCGATATATTATAGATTTAGATAATCACTATTCTATTTATGTAAATAATTATTAGTGCTTCTATTTTTTTTATTGTGTGATATTGTAAAGATTTTTTAATAGATATTTTATATAAGTATAAATTTAATACTTACACTTTTTCTTCAACTATTAAAATTAGCTTATCTAATTTTTTTTTCTTTTTTGAGATATAAGGTCTTTCTTTGTTAGCAATAATGCTGAAACTAAATGTATGGTATTATGTAACTTGAGAAGTCACTTCTGTACAATAAAGGTAGAATTTCATTGAGTTTTGGTATCAAGTAAGACGTTTAAGAAACTTGTTGATGTTTTGTTATTTTTAAGTTTTAGTGATTTAAAAAACAACTGCAAACTTTTAATCTGTTTATATCTGTGTTTACACTGTTTTAGATCTTTATGTACAGACAATTGCAAAGTATGAGTTACAAAAGATTGTCTTTCAACAAAGAGCAAAAAATTGTTGAAAAAACAAATTGCTTTTACCATATTAGCACTATTATCTGTAGCGATAGTAAAAATTTTATCAGTAAGGTGCCATTGTTAAATAATATTATATAGCTCTTTGCTAATAACCTCACTAGTATGTGGATGATTAAAAACATTACATGTTAATAAAACTTCATGAAATATAAAATTAGAGGCAAGCCAAGTAGCCATTATTCTAATATAAATATAATTGCTTTTTGCTATTTAGAGACTAGTTGTTAAATAAACCAATATAGTAGTAATGATAAGTAAATTCTTTAATTGATTTTTACTTATAAATATGCTTTATAAATTAAATTTTTAGCTGTTTTATTACTTAGAATCTGAAATCTAGGCATATAACTATAAACAAATTCATTGATTATAAATTTAATTAAAAGCTATAAAAGCTCTATTTGTTGGCTTTTACTATATTGAGATATAATTATTTGATTTTTTTTTGGCTAATTTAAAATAAAAATTTTTTTATTTTTATTTTTTTAAAGGTAAGATTGCTTTTTTTTTTTTTTTTTATTATTCTTTAACAAGTCTTGCCCTGACTTGATTTCTTAGTTTAAGTACATATAAATCATATATAATTATTTCTAAGACTAAACAAAAGCCCAATCTCACTTGGTTGCCTATTCAGATATCTAGGTGCAACCTGTTGCACTGGCTCACAGATGTGCCAGAAAAAAGTTCTTTTTATAAACTTGTTCAAAAGAGATTTACACCCTTTTGTATCCAATTTGAAACTACATCACCCCATGTTGTGTATAACTTCATTTCTTTTGCTGTGATTTCCCTTCTTTTTCCTTTAACATTCTTTTTTCTCAGTCTAGAGATGGAGGTCATATTCTTTTTTGGCTTAGAAACTTTAATTTTCTTTTCTCTTTTATCATATCTGTTTATATTATGTGCTTTTTTCTAATCTGCGAGTTTGCTACATCTATTTTTCCAGATAAAGTCATAATAACTGTTCCAGATTATATGAGCTATAATCTCGATCGTTCTTGAGATTGTTTTTGGTGATTCCAGAAGATTTTTGATTTCATCAGAAGAGTTTACTGTAGTTAGACCTTTGATCTATAATCTATGCTTTTATTGTTTATTAGTTTCTGTTTCTATGATTAGGATCTTATGCAAGGAGGTTTTCAAACATTTAAATCTTTCCTCTGTTGTAAGGTTCGACTATGCTAAGTAAATTGGTTTATTATCGATGTCTTGCACATCTCTTTGTAATAAGAACATTCGGCTAGATAATCTTGCGTTTCAACAATATTACTATTACACACTATGCAGTTAATACTAGTATATATATCAGGTCTTCTTGTTGAAAGCATCTGCAGCACTGGGAGATTTTCTGAGAGGCATTTAAAGGTAGAGTGTACATAAATCATTTATTATATGATATGCATTGTCAATCTTTTTTGTGTAATAGTTTATATAGTAAATACGACTCTAATTGGGTAATTACCTGTTTTAGTAATAATATTACTATTTGTTTTTTGTATAACCCTGGCAAATTTGAGAACTCCCTAACAAACTTTATGCTATATGTATGTACATTTTTTTAAAATAATATAACCCCTGAAAATTTTACTACTATAAATAGAAGGTTTAATCTATATATTACAAAAGATTGACAGTGGCTTCAAAAACTTTTGTTAGTGGCATATTTTAATTTATACATAAAATCCCATTGTACAACCAAAATCATATGATAAATAATCGACATACACTCTACCCTTAAGTTGTGTAGCAAGTCACTTGCTTTTTTGCAGCGAATCACATCTTGCTCCTCTTAATATTGACATTTTTTTCCAATAGGTATACTAGTCTAGCTTAGAATTATTCAAATCAGATTCTAGAGCTAATATTAACTTTGTTAATCTCTAGTTTGTGCCGTTTTAGGTTTCAAAAAGTTTTTTTAAAAAGGGTCTAGTTGCTTTTTCAATTCTATACTCTTCCCAGTAGAGTGAGAAAGTAATTCTTGTATTTATGTCTGCATGTATATCTGTCGCATATGATAATGTTGTGGCTTTTTTTGCTAAAGCATCTGCCATATCATTCCACTTATTGTTGCTATAACCTTTAATCTTTTGAAGTTCTAGAATGATATCTTTAGCTTTAACAAGATCAGCGATCTTGATTAGAATATTCCAGTTCTTCTTCTTGTAAACTCTATTGAATCTTCATTCTGTTTTTGTTTTGTTTATACTCGCAATTGCTGCTATACTGTCCAAGAAATACATACATTACTCTCTATTGGGATAGTAAAAAGAGCTAACCAGATTGCAATAACTCTCCCATAAGGATTATACTTGCTCCTCATCTACCTGTACCCAACCAATTCCCATACTACTAATCTCTTCTTCTTGAATTAATAAACTATCTGTGTATATCCAAAACCTACTTTTACTACTACTATTATTAAAGTCTAAACTACTACTCAAATTATTCACCAAAATTGTGTCAAAATTCTGGTTCAAAATTAGCTGCTTGTTCAATGATTCAATAAAAATTTCACTATTGAGTATTTTTTCTCCTTCTCTAGGTTTGAGCACAGTATGTTTAATAGTTTTGTATGAGAGAATGTAGGAATATACTTTTGATTAACCTTTTGTAGCAGTTTAGAGATCACTGTGTATACACTACTTTGGCTAATCCATTTAAGCTCTTTATTCTGTTCCGTTGATAGTACTTCACTGGGCTTTTCAATTTTTATGTAGCCTGGTAGCATATTGTTTTCTGAAGTTACCTAGTGCTCTGTCAGAACTTTGCTTTTGCTTTTTTTAATAATCTTTCTTGTTTCTAAATTATTATTTTCCTTATCTATCAGAATCCATTCTTTTTTCCTTTTGTCAGAAGAGATTAGTACAAGTGGTATCTTTTGCACCAATTATTCGGGTCTGCTGCATGCTGAGTCAACTTGATTTTTCTACTTTCTTGGTCTTGTAGCAAGATTTTTTCTAATGATGCAAACTATATAGCTTTTTTACCTACTCTGGTTTTGCCTTTTGCTATTTTGAGTTGCTACCAAGTTAGGAGTTTTTTTCCTTCCCTGTCTAAAAGCTAATTACAGAATATAATACCAAGGTTGAGTATATTTTTTGCTGCTTTTATAAAAAGCAGAGAACTAATGAATTTTTTTATAAGTGAGCCTGAATTTTGAAAATACTATTGTTCAGTTATAGGTCTAATATTTATACTGAATTCTTTTGCTTTGCATAAAGTCAGACATGTTGTATAGTTTCTCTATATCGAGTTCAGATCTGTGTTTGGTTTAAAAAGCCAATTATTATCGATAATGTTTGCAACCAAGAAGTCTTGTTTGATACGTATTTTTGCTAATTGACTATTTCTGTCTGTACTATTTAATTTGCGATGCATGTTGGTTGTTTGCTGTGTTAAGAGATTTTGCCAAAGAAATTTGCAATTTTCTAGATTTCTGTATACTAATAGAAAATTGCTTGTTGTACAAGGCAGATATATTCTATTTTTTATTAGCCTAACCATTGGTTGATGTAATGATTCCAAAG